ATCATTATATATGATCATCATCATCATCACCACCACCATCATCATCAGCATCATCATCACCATCATCATCACCATGTCCCATCGCTTTCAATTTCATCCCTCACACCTCCCACACCCCACCCAACCGTGCGCCTCCGGTGCAGCCACGCTTCGGTCCAGGCTCCCGGTCCGGCGCCTTGGATGGCTTTTTCAGGCTCACACACACACACACCCGGATGGTCCGCCTCGGGTCCGGCTTCTTATGAAGCAATTTTCAGGAAAGATAGCCGCTAGAAGCCCATGTGTTGAATCTTTTTGGACATATCTCTCCCAATTCGTTTGGTCCACCTTTCTCTTGGGGTCTATTTTTGGGCAATACTAATCGCCTTTCTTCCCCTTCTTCAGCGCCTATGTTTTCCTGTGTGTTTGTGATGTTTGAAGGATTTGCTTTTACAGTCCCTCTGTTAATTTCACCCATTCCTCACTCTATGGTCCTGTTGCCAATGTTTTACTTACTGTACTCCTTTCCAAACTCCAAATATTGCAATCCAAATAATCCTTTTGCTTATGCTGACTCATGGTTGGCTCCTGCCTTTGCCATTGTCCATTCAGTCTTGAGGATCCCTTCTCACGAAGAGATTCAGTGTTTAGTCTTTGAGGCCTTTTTCTCATGAAGGGATTTAGTCTGGATTTAGTCTTGGTGACCCCTCCTGATCGACCACCCCCAATTAAAAGTGTTGACTTTCTGCACCCCCCAACAAGAAAACTTCTGGCGGTGGTTATTAATCCGGTGTCGACATAAGTCTTGCAAAAAGATCCGTCTCCAGAACATGTTCATTGATACATCTTTGGAAGCATCTGTACATCAATGGCCTACATCGTCACTTTCCCAATCTCGTGCAATTTCATCATGATCACGGAAGCTATTAGTAACAAGTGCATCGCTTCTAGTAACAAGTGCCTTACTAGTAGTAACAAGGACGCTACTAGCAACAAGTGCCTCCAGTCCACACCTGGGCCACCCCGCGGTTGCATCGTGGGAGAGGGCACTGGAGAAGCCGAGCTGTGGTGCCGCGCCAAATCCTGGGAACTGTGTCGGACGCTCCGCCACGGTACGGCCTGAGACGGCGCCGGAGACCCGTATGGCCGGAATCGGAAGCTTCAAATGTGTTGCGGAAGTGAACACCTTACTAAATCCGCAAGATGTTTGAATGATTCTGAATCCCGGAACTGCTCCTGCTCGTAGTTGCTCATGACCCGCGAGAGATCTTCCTCTTCTCGAACCATTGACAAGGCTCCTGCGGGGACTTCTCTTCGTGAAAACCCCGCCCCGAAGGAGACCCTCAGCTGGCCTGCTCCAGGCTTCATGTACACCTGAGGAGATGACAACAGTTTAATCTGCAGCATGCTAATATGATTTAATATGAAAGAAGCTATTAGGAACAAGTGCATCGCTTCTAGTATCAAGTGCCTTACTAGTAGAAACAAGAAGCTGAAAGAATCCGGCACAAAGTGACATGAGAATTCACCAAGATGACGTCGGCCTCTTCGATGTCCGACCCCACTGTTTGATCTTCATCCTCTGTGTATTGGGCATCCTCGAAGTCGTCCTCCAAATGCTTTTGAATACAGGCACTTGTTACTAGAAGCGATGCACTTGTTTCTACTAGCTTCTTGCTACTACTAGTAAGGCACGTAAGGCACTTGTTACTAGAAGCCATGCACTTGTTCCTAATAGCTTCTTGTTACTACATGAAGCAAAATAGAACATCCCAACATTCTGCTCTCGTCATCTCGACGTCTCTTCCCTTTACAGGCGAGTACTCCCCCGAAAAGCACCGTCGGTCTCGCCTCGTACTCTTCCGAGTAGTCACTCTCATCGATCTCCTCGGCGGGGCCGTCCCAGTCCTCGTCGTTGGGGCTCGGAGGGCTCCAACAGGCCCGTTCAGGGGACATGCCGTGGTTTGGTCTTCACTTTGGTATCGACCGTTTTTCACCATGACTCGACCATACGGGTTTTCTTCAAAGGTCGTCTTCCGCCACTTGCCCAACATCTTCCGCCACTGGTGCGGTCCCTTCGCTCCTCTGCGCGATCTTCATCGTGCGACTGAGCGTGTCGAAGCGCCGTTCGGGTCAGAGGAGTCAGAGGAGTCGTTCGGGCCGTGTGGGGTGGAATCAACCAAAAGTCTGAGGTGTCTGTTGTGGGAGTCAAACCTGAAGAGTTCCGTTGGGTTCCGTTTGTCAGGGTTGTTTTCACACTTTCTGCATTCTGTTCGATCTGTTCGAACACTTCCTGCATTCTATTAGCATTCCATCTGCGAAGCTCTACCTTTGACCAATCCGACGACCCCTTTGACCAATCTGGGTGGCCGTGCTGGGCTTGAGGCGAGGTGGGACGTTCCGATTCCACCTGCGGTCAGGTCCGGGTTTACCTCTTCTTCTTCCCCACGTTTGCTGGGTGAGGCCACTTTAGGACTGGCTCGGATCAGAATGATAAGAACACCCAAGACCCGTTTGTAATGGAAGACAGGTGTTCCATGTGAAGACTCATAAGAAATCATAAGAACATTGAGAAGCTTCTACGATTTTACTCCTTGCAGAAAGATTGGCTGCCAGCACATACTATTCCTGTTGGTCTGGGCCACTAAGTTCCAGGCCCACTGCAGGCAAATGACCCGAAGCCTTAGCCATCAGGAACCACAATGGCATCAACGTGCATCAACTGTGCCTAACTAATCTGTATAACTATACATCTTCAGGAATGTTCAGGATCAGTATTTGCCAATCACTGATCTGCTTAAGCCCTTGAGGTGCCATTCGACGCTCCATCCGGCTTTGGGCTGGGCCGTTGCTGGGCCCATGCGGCCGGCGAAGGTGGTCCTCGGCCACTCTTAGGGGGGAAGGGTGGTGTCAAAGCATCATGCAAAATGAGATGAAGCCGAACAGTTCAATGCCCAAAACACACAAGTTACCATTGCTCTCTCTCTCTCTCTTTATTTTTTCTCTCTCACTCGCTCTTTTTCTCTCTTTCTCTCACGCAAGGCCCTGGCTGAAATTCGGCTTCCCGCATTTGTCTGGCCACCTGCCGCAGGACAAACAATTGGAGACCAGGAGCTTTGTGTGGGGATTCACCCCCGTCTGTTTTCGTGTCTGACCGTTCAGAACCTGAAAAAATCAGACACCAAACAATCTTGCATGACTGTCCATGGCTCTTGAACTACCCGAAAGAGCCAATAAGTCCATATGTTCATTAATGGCACCCTTTCCACCCATACCATCAGTGCTCCAAAGACCCATACCATCACTGGAACCCAAAAAAACTAAATAAAGAAAATCCTCCCTCCTCCCGCCCCGGTACAACCCCCCGGACTCCCGCACCGTCTTGTTGTGCATCGACTCTTTGGCCGCTGCCTTGTGGCGCTCCGCCTGGAGCGACGTGTGGCGCGCACACAGAGCCGCGGCCGCGACACGTTCGTGGAAAGACGATCAACTACCTAGCAGGGTTTGTTCTCTTGGGGGGGCGAACTGGCTGTTAGAGGGAGAATCTGTGCTTACAGCATGTTGGAGCTCTTCGGATTCGACCGAGGCGCCCCCTCGGCGCCTACGCCCTGCCCAATCAACGGGCGTTCGACGCCGGCACCTCACGGTCTGCTGCCTCCCGCTTCCGCCGTGCTGCTGCCTCTTTGGGCGTTTCAGCAGCTCGACCTGGAGCCCAAAATCAGACCAGCCATGTTTCACTGTCACCCTCTGAGTGGCACACCGTGCCGCACGTGCTTGTGACCTGGCGAGCCAATCTCCCCACCACGTTGTTTAAAGATAGCGATGCCCTTGTTACTATATAGTAGTTTCTTGCTGCTAGTAGCAATGGCCTCCACATGGCCTCCACCTAGTAGCTTCTTGTTACTAGTAGTAATGCCCTTGTTACACCATGCAAAAGACAACACCATGCAACTCCCGCCTGCCCGCACATGTGGCTGTGCCTCTCCGATCGGAAGCCCGGGCGCTCCGCCCCACCCGCTCGGTCCGGCCGTGGACCACCCGCTCCGCTTCTCCGGCGCCGGCGGTCCCGGTGAGAAGCTCCGCGCCGGCGGCGACGCGCCCGGCGAGGCCGGGGACACGGCGGGGCCGGGCGACACCGGGGAGCCAGCGGGCGGAGAAGGGGAGGGCCGACCTGGCAACAGCAAGTGGCAGTCAGTGGCAGTCAGTCAGTCCAAGCGAGTGAAAAACATGTAAAAACAGACTCGTTGCAATTCGTTCGCCTGGAGATGACCGAGCCGCACTTTGGCCTCGAAGACTTTTTCATGGAGTAGATCCATCAAGTGGACGTTCTTTGAGGCGCTGGCGGCTCTGCAGGTAGTCCGCTACAAAGGACTGCCAACGGATTTGCATGATTGTGTAAGTGAATGTTTCTGTATGTGTTCATCGGTTCAAACAATGTGATATTGTCCAAATTAACAGGGTGTTCACGGGTGTATCATCTTCCCACTTGCCACTGTTGCCGCTTCGCGTTGGGTCCGGTCGTCGACTCCGAGCAGGCAGGCCTGCACATACGGATCTGCCAAGAGCTCTCGCACGCTCGGGCGTATTTCGGCATTCTTCTCCAGCATCCGCCTAAGGTGGCTGAATCTCGGAATGAGTGTTGCACTAGGTCTGCAATATGCTGAGACAAGACAGCAAAAAGAAAGGACGTTCTTTCCACGACCACCTCCTTTCAAAGCATCTGGCTGGATCAGGGTATCTAGCTGGGCTGTGTATAGCTCTGGGATCGGCCTCAGAAGCAGCGCATCATGTGCACATGTTGTACCTATGGTGTGATGGCTCGAGGTCATGGGAAGAAGTGATCGGTAAAAGTTCCTTCGTCACATCTCAAAACGATATGACCCCTAACAACTGGATGTTCATATTCCAACGATCTTGTGTAAGTCGCGATAGTGGCACAGTTGACAGCGTGGGCATCTATCTACTGTTCTGATACATTCATGGTCTGTGGAATGTGCCCTATTCTGTCGCAAGGCAATATATCAGGTTGCCGGCTCGTACTTGTCACTGACGATCTTGTACACAAGCCTGGCGGCAAAAGGAATGTAAAAGTATCGTTGGAGCCACTGCTTATGCATAATGGCATAGTACAAGTTGCTCTTCCTGCTTCTGCTCATTCTGACTTTGTAGCACTTTCCACTCTGTGGCAAGCACCCCAGCAAATTGTCTGCAGAGAAGGCATGCTTTAGCATGCACATCTCATACAGGCAGCACCCCAGGGACCAAACCTCAAGGGTGCGATCTCCGAACTGGACATCGCTTCAACCACGAAGCGAAACGACTCTTCTAATATTCGTGCGAAGCGAATGGCATGGTCATACCGACCATTGCCTGCAGCAACCCTTCGACGGGGTCCAAGCCCCAGACATCACTTTTGAAAGTGTAGGGCTTGTTCTCACAAACCTCTGGCGACATGTAGTACCTCGCTTGCAAAAGCAACTCCGCAGTGTGTGGCCAGATGCACATCAACCAACTATAAGATAAACCCGCAAGAGCTGTGGAACTCAAATTCTAGTACCTGGCACCGCTTGTTTTCCGTCGAATGCCAGCTTCAGGTTCGACCTAATAATTTGGTCTTGGACATAGATTCTAACCACCATTTCATGGGACTTTAGAATGCACAGAAAGGTTTGAAGTGCATCAAAGAAACAACTATTGAATGTCCACTTTGATACAGTATCGTTTGATGTTGGAGAAAGAATATGAAATGATGATATGAGATTTGATAAGATCAATGGTCTTAGGAACAAGGACATCCTTCGTTTCAACGCTTCCGGTCACGGAGTGCCAACCACAGTGATCGCAGCCTGCGCGCCAAAAAAATGCGTGCGCGGGTGCGAACCAACTCACACCACGAAAAAGCCAACGGCAGGCATGAAAAGGAAAAAACTTACAATAAAAGCAAGAAAAGAGCGGTGTTGATCTGTTTTGATCTCAGAGGCCCTCACAATCGGAAGAACTCCAATTCCCCTAGCGTCCCCAACCCAACCGCCTCAATGGAACCCTCCAGCACCCGTGAAATGCCGAAGTCCCCCAGCTTGACGACCTCGGAAGGCTGTGGCATATGGCAAAAAAAGAAACTTGGTGAAGGTGCGGCGCAGGGGTGGGGTGTGTGTGTGTGTGTACCCATGTGGCTAATAATATTGCAGATGTGCCTGCTTGAATTTGGGACTTTTGATAGCTACGTCGTGATGCAGCAATTTATGTTTTTTGTGAAACTTGGAGCTCTTGAACTTTCGATTGTGAACCTCTTGGAATATGACTGTGACTATGAGGTAGTTGGACCCTGCTGCACTACTTTGGTTTCCTCTTTTACCAAAGGTTTCTTCAGGGCATGCGACATTCAGTCCACACGTACACCAATCTCAAGCGTTTGCCCATGGTTCTTTTGAACAGCTTATGTTTAGTTTAATGGCATGTTTGGCTCAACAGCTGACCATGAGACATTAACCATAGAACTCAACCCATTTAGAAGTCTTTGTGACCTGTCTGGACCCCTCACCCGGACCGCTGAACACCGTCCAACGGCCACGTGTTACTATGAACGGAAAAGGAACGAGCGCCGGACCCGTCTCTTGCACAAGTATATAAGATTCACCGCGGTCTCTCACACACAGGACGCTACGAACGGAGCAAAGGGCATCGCTACTAGGAACAAGGACGCTACTAGGGGCTCCTGGCCTTACTACTAGAAGCAAAGACGCTACTAGGAGCTTTTCGCACACGCAAAGCCGACATCAACATCAACACCATGGAGGCCCGACATGATCCTTCCAGTCTTCCAGATCCTTATCCTTCGCAACGAGCATTCCCAAAGTCCATCCCTGTTACCCCTCAGGTGTAGTGAAACAAGTGGCAAACTTGCTCTTCATCAGAAAGAGGTTGGATGTCTTGAGATCTCTGTGCAGGATCCGCTCGCCGTGGATGTACTGAAGTGCCTGTACTCTCATTGACAGGGGCGTGTTGCGGCAAACCTGTCAACATGTGCCATTCCAACAGGAAGGCATTATATCATGTGTTAATGATTCGATATTCTCTCATTATGAACTGGATCTTCCGTATGATCCACCAATTATATATATATATATATATTAGAACCATTGCGTTGGTCCAAAGGTCCCTTAAGGGATCCGATGCCTGAAGGATCTGCACAAAGTAGTGCATGATTTGCTGCTCATCAATCCGCTGACGCTGCTTCCGCATGTCCTGAAAGCCATGGACTTCACAAAATGTAAATTTGGGAAAGCCAGGCCAAATGTACCTGGCAAATGTCTCTGTCCTTGATGTACGTTGCCAAATCACCACCCTCACAATATTGCATGATGATCACGAGCGTGTCCTGGAATGAGATTGTCAAGCTCAGTTGCATATGGGTTCGCTTTGCAGCAAAACATGTCTGGCTGACGCCCATGAAGAAGTTATCCCGGTAAGAGACGATATTGGGATGATCCAAACCTCAGCAAGTTCCCCCTGATTCTGAAGATATCTCCTTGTCCAGGGTGGTTCATGGCAAACAAACGAGCCAGGGTTGTGTGGTTTTGTCGCACCGGTCGCTGTGTTCCACACGTCTTAGCAGGGCAACCTCTTGGTAAGCGGTCTCTTGCTCCTGGCAGGTCTGCGAGGTCGTGTTGGGTAGGTTTGCGAGGTTCGAAGACCTACAGTAGTGATCCTCCCAACAACAAGACTAGTAAACACAACAAGGACGCAGCTGGACACAACAAGGGAGAAGCTCCCTACAACGACATGCCGGACACTGGACAGCCCGTCCTTGCTTGACAAACACGTAAGGTCGATGGTCTTTGCCTCATTGGTTCACTTGTTGCAAAGAATCTTGGCTACCCAGGGCTTACGTGAAACACCATGCACCTCCAGCACAACCAAGCAGCAATATAGTATTGATCATCAATCTCAGCACGAACCAAGTGAGCCTGCACAAATAGAGAAGAACAAAGAAGAAATGCCAAACAAGCATCAAACTCAGTTGGCTTTACTGGGTCTTTGGCCGAACTGACTTTCTGAACCCTTGTCCAGCCTTTCCATACTGCCCACGACCGATGACCTCATCGCTTCAGAAACATCCCAAAGCAAAAAAAGTCCTCTGTTTGGGAATCGATGTGCGTTCTCCGCGCGTGATGTGATGTGTTTCGCTTCGGAAAAGACGTCTCAAAGAAGAAACACGAGCCGAACTGGACCTCGCTGTTCGCCGCTTCATCTTTCATCGTTCAATGTGAACTCCAACAGCGCCGCTTTCATCGTTTGGAAGAACCCGCCGCGCCTTGAGTTCTTCATAGCCCCAGTCCGGAAGGTTCGTCCCCTGCACCGGGTGGGATGCCCCGACTCGTCCCGCCCGCTGCGGGTGGCCGCGCCAGGTCGGCAGATTCTCTCAAGACAGGACTCTGCAGGTTCTGGGATCCTGGCTGAGGAAGTCATCGAAGACTCGCCTGTTTTCGGCACAGGACACGGAAAGCATCTGAGAACACTGAGAACGAAAGGAGAATGGCCCAGATAATCCCAAAATGTGGAACAACAGAAAGCGCCTCAAGCTTGGGGAGAAGTGGCAGGGACGAGCCTGAGCAAGAGTGTTTGCCTTGTGGCAAAACTGCATGCCATGACCATGACCTATCAATTTCACATGGTGTCGGAAAATGGTATATCTAGAGTCTAGAGAGGGATATCTCCACAAATTCCTTCCCTCGGCATCAGCATGGTTGTTGGCCCCATTATCACCTGCTCTGAAGCACTTCACATCGGCTGGGCTCGCTGCACATCCGTCCCTCTGGCGCCGCCTCGGGGCGACACCCACATCACACGACCGCGTGGGTTGACGCCGCGGCGAACTCGGCGACGTGCTGAGCTCACGACGCAGCGGCGGGCACGAGGAAAGGGAAGGGAACGGGATTCCGGTGAAAAGCGCGCTCGGAAGGCGGAAATTGTCTCAGGGTGGCTCGCCTTGTAGGGATGCCAAGAACTGCACAAGGCGCTATCGCAAGCCCCAAGTGTTTCTGCTGAAGCTGGATGAAGCTGGACTGGCAGATTCTTCAATAGCCTTTATATGATCCTAGCGAAGGCAAGCCACGCCTCTTTTCGTGAGAGTTCTTGCTGCAGCTGTGGATCTCTCAAAGCAATGAACCCCCTTCAAATTGCCACGCAAAGTTCCTTGATGGTGTTCATGGTGTTTTCTGCTGTACTAAAGCTTTTTGCGGTTTGGATTTGTCAAGGTGCCGATTTGGAGACCCCAAGAACTGGGCGCTGCCGATTTGCTCATAGTCTGGGCTTGATGTTAAAGGCTTCACGGCCCAGGTCGAGCCGCAATCTCCCGGAGAATCGCAGCACCATGGCCATTTTGACTCTGGTTTGTGGTCCATTTGTGGTCCACTGGTCGTTGAGTGGGTAGAGGATACCATCAAGTGGTTCTGGGACACAACCCTGCCTAATGACCTCATCAATAAGCTTTCTTGGCTCCCTCACATTGCTTGGCCCCAGCTCGAAAGAAGTACCCCTAGCTGTCACGCTGCCCAGACTTGGTGCTATGAAAGCAGGGAATGAGGGAATGAACTCTCAATAGAGATTCCTTTCGATCCATTCCCTCATTCCTCACTCGGCACCAGTCAGTGGTAGGTGCGTTCCTTTGAGTGCGCAAAAAGGTAAACCATCCAAGTGGCTCCGACCTTCACACCCAGTCTCACCTTCCTTCCAGGTCATCCCCCCGTTTTATGAGGATAAAGAACTAGCAAACCCACCCAGCCACCGGTGAACTGCACAACACAATGGTGAACCAGGATCCGATCGGCTGAAACACCGCTCCGCCGCCCGCGCCATCGGCCGATGCGAGGTCTTCAGGCTCTTCTCGGCGGACTGGAGGTCACTGCACGGTGGCGGGGCACCAGCGCACCGGATGATCGGCGGGGGCGATGACATGTGTCATGTGTGTTTTCCTAAAGATACTTGATATATGACATATGGCATAGGGATGCATCCAAAACCCAACGTGTTTTTGTTGGTTCCCACAACTCATGTCAATGTGGGTGGCTACTTGGGTCTGTCACAATTACATCGTCTCAAATCTCAACACTCATCAACTTGACAACTTGATCCAAGCATCACAATTTGTTGCACAAAAACATGTCGTCCAAAAAGCCAGCCAGTGCCAGAAACATCTATGACCCAATTCAGCATCCAAAAATTATCACCTACGACCTCGCCCGCTGAGGCCCCGACACGCGGCCGACCTCAGAGCTTTTCTGCTCGCGAAAAGGAAGCTCTCCACGAGCTGAACGGATCGAAAACTGATTGGTCTCATAAGTGACTCATATGTCAGAACGGGTCTCTGATCTGTTTCATTAAGCCGAAGAAAGGAAAGAACCTTGAGCAAGCTTGAGACTTGGTCCTGCCATGCGTGAGAGTTGGTCTGCCAGTCTCACAAAACCTGCCCTTCTGGTGAGATGCATGGAAAGTATGCACTGCCCCCATCCCCTATCCACAATCTGCAAGACATGGTGCGAAAAGCATTGGCGAGAGCGGCAGCTGCACAGGTTTCTGAAAAATGCAAAGGGCCCAAAGTGGGTTGTCAAGCATGTGCCCTGTCTGGAGCTAAAACCAAATGTCAGATGTTCTCTATGCGGATTCCATGACAATTTCTAGAGCCTATGCTGTGGAGTGGAGGCAGAACCTTACTAGGGAAGAACCAGTGTTCTGCACCTTTGGTAACTGAGTGGAGAGTGGAAATGTTGGAGATCGAGTCCCCACAGACGGAGGAAAACGTTCTATGGGACAACGCACTGGGAAGAAGCGCAAAGCGACACACTAAAGGGAGATCTGGCCAAGCAACGGGCCAAAAGCAAAGACATGCGAGGAAGCAGCAATACCTTCAAGAGCTACTGCAGGGAGACCCTACATAGCTGCCTACCAGGAGCTCTTCCTGACACAACTGACAGTGACGAAAATGACAGGGCAAAGAATCGGGAGGCTGCCAGGTATGTGTTTGCAAGAATCTTTGCTATTTGCTACTGTCCTTTTGTTCGGTGTCTTATGCGAACTTTGAACTTGAACCTGCTTTCAGGCTGTGTTTCAGGGGCATTGACTCTGATTTGCTGTCCCGCTTTTCCCATGATCTCCACCTCGTCTGGTGGCCACAATTCCTCAACCAATACCCACGGCTTTCTTGACTAAGTGCCACGACAGGACGTGGAGGTGTTCGGCAAAGGCTCCTGCTGGGCATGGAGCCAGTGGAGGGTAGAATTTGAAATTATGGGATATTTTCAGATACAGAACTGTGGCTTACGAGCCGGACCTGCAACTGGTAAAAGCATTTGTCATCCCCCGCATCAGCCCTGGCTGCTCGGGAAAAGTGAGTAACTTTGCTGTCTTCACCCACTGTTGAATCCAATCTCCACTTCGAGACCAAACCACCCATACCATCCAAAACCATCACACATGAGCTGTCAGTGCCGGAGCTCCTGCTGTGATCTACTGCTGCTAGGCCTTCCATTTGCACTGCCTCCGTGACGGGCAACGGAATTTCGGTTGCCTTCCTGTGGGCTTGCTCCAACATGGAAAGGACGTGGGATTTGTTGGAAACCAGTTGTTCAAAGATTCCAAAAACATCAAACAAAAAAAAACAGGAGAGGCCGTTTTCTCGGTCATACCGACCGGTCTCCGGTCTCATGGAGACCTGTCGGACCCTCTAGGACCCCTGCTGCGTCTGCTTGCAAGCGGTCACAGCCGATGATGGTCCTGGCTCGACGCTTCCCAACGGACCCGACACGACCGAACCCCTCGCGACGCTTCGCATCGCGATCGCTCCTGGTGATGCTGTGACAAGACCGCTCGTGGCAGAAGAGGTCGATCACTTCACAAAGCACCTCTCACGACTTCGGTGACAGGTTCTGGCGATCAATCATTCATTCAAGGTCATTAGACAACTCTTCCATGACGGGCGTAGCTCCCCTATGCTCCCCTTCTTCAAATGACGATCGTGTTTTCTGCAGGTTTCATCTGGCTGGATTCCAGGCAGCTCGTGCACCGCGCGGCCATTTGCCGCTCACGAGTGGCGTGTGGCTACTCTGATCTTCAGGTTCACCGACTTCAAGATGACGAGGACGTCATCGGATTCTTCTGGCCCGTGATGTGTCTTCTTTCTGCTTCATGCTTGTACCATGAGTGGCTGCGACATATGCGTCATCTGGACCTCAGAAGAACGATAGTCAACCTAGCCTAGCAACTAGGAGACCTGGTCAAGCAATTTACAAACGTCAAGGAACTCGGAGCGACATTCCAACCAAACACGTCTCGTGGCTGTTACTTTCCGATCAAATTGAGGATCCGACGTCTCGTGGCTCGCCTTGTCCAAGGGGAACGTTGGCCAGCAAATACGTTTGGGAGTTGCCCTTGGTGAGCTTGGACCAATATTCATGGCCCCACCAAAAGCCAAAGGCCATGAGGACCATGGTGGGAACCATGCAAAGGAGGCGAACTGCCGTTTGAATCCATAAGGCCTGAAAGACATCGGGAGCTTCTCGTTGTGCCACCTTGTAAAGAGCCACAATCCTCATGAGGCCAAAACTCTCCGAATTTGCATGAATTCAGTGTATGTGTCAGTTCGAGCCAGGTGCATGAATGTGTCAGTTTTCCAGCCATCAAAAGAGACACAAAAGTACCTGCTGTGATCATTGAGCCACTATCGAAACCTTAGAATTAGAAAAGACTTAGACTGGTAGACTCGCGCTATCGCTCGCACGCACGTCTCAGACGACGACTTGAACCGCGCCTCGAGGGCTTACATTCCGTGAGCGGATCCTCGGGCATCGGGAGAGTGAGCACCTTCCCCAGGCTTTCACTCGCCTGGCCCAAAGCTTTCAGCGCACTGCCCTGGCGGGATGGAGACACGACGGGGAGACACAAGCGTCTTGGAAATGGATGAAACGAAACGACAGAAAAGCACAGGTCATTCACAAGCATTCCTGCATCAAAGAGAAGAAAAAAGAATGTTCTTCTTCTATGATGTGTCATGCAGTGACCCTCTACCTCGAACTCTTGGGGTCATCCTCAAGTTTTCCCGCTTCGGCAGGTGGTGGATGCAGGTCAACATGGAAATGGATCACAAGAATCCCTCGGTACCGAACACAGCTGGGCACCCTGCAGTTCCTCTAGCACACTAGCACAGCTGTTCTTTCAAGTGAAAACAACCTTTCTCAGAAGTATATACAAGTGCTGTGTATCTCATCTGGTCAAATTGCCTATGGATCAGAAAAGGACAGCCAAGGTTGGTTCTGCCCAAGAAATCTGGGTTCTCGGATGACTCGGATGGGCAAACCTGACATCCAACGAAAAGCACCACCGAACCCAGAAGAAAGCCAAGGGAGTCCTGATCACTCTCAGAGAAGTCCAGCACCTCTTCCTGCGGGTCCTTGAACGGGTTCCGACGATATCTCCGTCTGAAGAGAACCGAAAGCTTACGTTCATAAGCTCAACAAACATACCTGGGATACCGCCGAAACGATCGGGGTGCTAAGTTTCAAGGGAAGGTGAACGTTCTCCACCAACAAAGTTGCGTCAGTTTCAACCACCAGCAATAACCCATCACCATGCTTAACTAAATTACTGCAATCCAACACTTGCACTTCCGTCGGTCTACCTGTCCTCTTCCTCTTCCTCTTCCTCTTCCTCTTCCACCTCATCTGCACTACTTTGAGGATCGTCTTCCTCTGGACTTTCTGAAGAGTCTTTTTCATCCTCCTCCTCTTCTTCCTCTGCTTTCTTAGCGTCCTCAGCTTCCTCTCCAGCATCATCTTCATCAGGGTCCTCAACATCCTCTTCACCAGATCCCTCTTTTTCATCTGAAGAGGCCTCTTGGGCCTCCTTCTCGGAATCCTCCTCGTCCTCCTCGGAGTCTTCCGCTTGGCTTCTGGCACTGCTTGCAGCACTGCTTGCAGCTTCTACGGTTTCAGGAGAAGCGTCAGCATCCTGGTCCGTCTCCTCTTCTGTTCCAGAAACATGCTGGTCATCATCCAGATCATCGTTTCTTTGTTTTGCTTCAGCTGCATCAGCCTCATCATCCTCCTGATCGTCCTCTTTGCTTTCTTCTTTGTCAGCACCAGCATCTCGCTCTACATCAGCAGCATCGTCGTCATCATCGTTCTTCCCTTCCTGGCCCCTAGAAGAGTCCCTTGCATCGGCAACTTCTTCCTCTTCGGAGGCACCTTCTGGCTCCTCGTCTGCGTCACCATCATCAGCCTCGTCTTCAGCTCCTTTCTCGTCCCTTGTGTCTCTCGGCTCTGCCTCCTCGACCTCATCCTGATCAGGTGCAACAGTCTCGGCCGCCACAGGCGCAGCAGACACAGCTGTGTCCTCCCCCTCCTCGGGTTCTACCAGCAAACGTCGAGCTTGGACAACTTCGGCTTCCTTGGTGTCCTCGGTGTCCTCATTCTCCTCGCACTGCAAATACATGGGAGGGCATTCCTGAGGGAGATGATTCCCTGAGAATTGTGGACGGTATTCATCCCAAACCGCAGGGGCCAAGCAATCAATCTGCCTCTTGACCGGCGTATCAAAGCCCAGCGGGTAGCATAGCTTCGGGTCACAGCGACCAAACCACAGCTCTGCAGTCTCGCTCGCGGAAGACACGCTTTGGAGGAAAAAAAGAGCACCAACGATGGCTGGGATCAAGAAGATGCAATAAGCTGCGCTACAGCAACAGTAGCAACATGCACAGCACTCGGACTGCGCCTTCGTTCCCATGAGTCCGCAAGTTGCAAAAAGAGATCCCGTGAGAATGGAAGCAAGCAGAAGAGCAATAGCAGGGAAAAAGACCAGTTGTGGCAAAGCACCAATGAGCCAAGTGATTTCTGGGACAGCCTGCACTTGGGCTAGCGCTCTCAGGTTCTTTTCCAGATGTTGCTCATTAAGTATGAAGCACAAGCCCTGAATCCCGGCAGAGGCAACGATGAAAATGGCCGTGGCCACGGCCACCGTTGCGACGCGCTCCTCCAACAGGGAAGCATGGTCCATCCACGGTGTCCAAATGCGAAGAAACACGTCGTCCCCATGTTCTCTTGGATATGCTTATCATCCTCATGTTCCAAAGTGAAAACGGCTGGTTTGTATCCATTCTGCATCCGTCTTTCCGAACCCCAAGCGGTGCCAAACCAAAACACGCCAAACCCCTGGCCTTCAGCTTCCCATAGAGCGCCTCTGGCACCCGGGGGGCCACCACGTAGGAGGACACGCCACGCTCCGCTCGCTCCGCTTCTTCGACTTCTGTCAGGGAGCGGAGCTCCCGTGCTGCCATGGCACCGGGAGCTCACACGGGTTCTCCGACGAGGAGCTCACGGCTCCACACGAGCCGTTTTGGTTTTTGGCGAGTTGAGCCGAACTCGGTGCTTTTGCGAGTCCGTTTTGGGCCTCAAGATGGATTGATCAAGAACCGAGGAGTGTCACCTAGTGTCACCAGCCTACAGCCTGGCATCGCTTTGGATCTGGCTGACTAGCTAGTGCTTCTTCTTCTTCTTCTTCTTCTTCTTCTTCTGTGATGGAATTTCCACAGTGCGTGATGTTATTGCAGAATAATGTCTCGCTCTCGGCTTGATGGCTCTCACTGAGCCCCCTGCATCTGAACTGCGACTGTTGAGGTTGGAAACATAGCAAGTGAGCCTGGCTGTGGCAGGTCCATCTGTGGTGGTCTTGGGCTGATGTATGCTCGCCAACGAGGGACGACTTGCTGTAAGTAGATTGGATTGGACCCTTTTTTTGTTCTTAGCTAGAACTGAGACGAGACGAAGCGGCAAAAATTGCCGAAAATCAAAAGAGATATCGAGAGAGAGAGAGAGAAGAAAAAAAAACATTTGCAAAAAAATAAACATGTTTGTTGCTGCTGGTGGAGCCCAACACGAAGCAGGAGTTTCCAGCATACCCTTGTGATTTCGCGTTCTCTTCCATGCACAAAAAATGATGGCACGAGCAAAGAAGGTGTCCGACGGCACGACTGTGAGAGTCCTCCCGAAAGGTACGATTTGAGATCAGTCGACACCTTGGCTCAGTCGACCAAAACTGATCATGGCGGCCACGCTCGCTTTTGGACTTCCCTCACCTCACAAGCTCGTGGGCTGAGGAACCACAGGCCAGGAGCACCTGGCATGGCAAGCTTGGAGGTTGTTCCGTCCGACCAAGTCTTCTTTATCCTTCTGAGTCAAACAGAATCAGTTTGGCAAGTGGAAACCAAATTAAGGCAACGAAGTGCTTGCAATCATGGAAGTCAGGCGAATGGTTTGATGGCCAACAGTGGAGGCGGACGAGAATCGAATTACAACATCTTACCACCACTTCGGACACGCCGTCGGTCGCGTGCTCGAAGACGAGTCATCCACACCAGTCGGTCGCCCATCACCGATCAAACCGAACGGGATCTGACTGCCACGTGGGATCGGGAAGCAACCCCCCCCTGGACGGAACCCAAAACGGCTCCAAGGCTTCGCGCCGCAGGGCCGCGAACGAGCGCGGGGGCGAACGAGCCATACGCTCTGGGAACGAGGATCGCGGGGTCGCAAACTATGGTAGTCAGCGATGTTCGACATGGGGCGCCCCGGCCTATTGCTGAACTTTCAGAAGAAAGGGGGATGTAAACAGGTCTTAACCTGTCAGCAGCAGAACGAGCACGGGGAGGCGGAATCCTTTCGGCAAGGCTGGACAATGGCAGGCGGGATCCGGACCGGCGCAGGCTCAACCGACTGCAACTGCTACACCCAATGACAGAAGAGAAAAAGGTCCGACTCCCGCGAAAGTGCTCCTCAACGTGCCTCCCTCGCTACCGCGGGTGGACAGATGGTGCTCCAAAGCTGCAGGACGCAGGACCCCGGTTCTTCCTTTGCCGCTCTATCCGGAACCCAAAAAAACTTCAATACGTGCCACACCACACTACAAATCACATCACATCACCAACTTCCCCTGCTTGGCTGATGTGGCCGCCTGGCTTGGTCGCGCAGCCGGCCCGTTCGCTACCCTCGTGGAGGATCGCAGGCAGGTAAGGGTTCCAGGCGTAAAAAGGTTCCAAGCTCCAGGCTTGGTTCCAAGAGAAGTACGAACCCCTTATAGGTCCGCTTTACTATTTGGGGACATGTCCAGAGTCCCCTAGTTGGACACACCTAGAGCCAGGTCAGTTGACGCAAGGCCCATGGGTCTCTCAAGCCTTGCAGAGCACCTGTTCGAGGATTTGGCAGCATCGGTAGGCTTCTGTCGCGATGCCACCCGGCACCAGGAAAATACCAGCCTCAAAAGGGCAGGCCATTTGGGATCCATTGCTTAGGAAGCTTGAAACAATGCACCAGAACGCCGATCGGAATGACGACACAGCCCAAAACCAACCATCGGAAAGGCAAAAGACTTCTTAGCTCCTGGACCGCTTCATGCAGTCGCTGGCCCAACGCCTCAGCTTTTGGCTGAGAACACAAAGGAGCATCTGGTAGGGAGGAGTTGTCACAGGGGATGTGATGATCAAAACTCTCAATTTCGGTAAAGACCGATACTAAAGTTACTAAAGTGGCTGGCTCTTCGCTCTTACCGAAGAAATGGCACAAATCTCCACCTCCATGCCTTTTCACCGTCCCCAGAGACTCGCCACCGAGGTCTCCACGGGGGCCAGGTGGATTTGCCCCTGGCTCACCGAGGCGTGGGTGTCACCCAGGCGCGGCAGCCCCGTGATCTGGAGATGCTCCACGGCGCCGGCCTGGCCGCCATGGGTAGCAGTCCACACCGCGATGGCACCGGTGTGTGGACCGGTGTCCACCGGAGGATGTCCGGAATCCGAAGTATCAAACACGGCTGAAGTGGAGCTTGGGCGAGGTTTCGTTCGGCTTCCCCCGAGATCCAGGCGGCCCCTGCGTCTATGTTGATGGGTAGTTGACCCAACCAGTGACACAGGCCTTTTGCCGCACGATCTGCCCCTCAGCCAGATCCTGAGCACAATAAAGAAGGGGGGGTTTCATGACAACAAAGCCAAGCCGGCCACTCTTCCCATCATCTGTCCATCTTCATGACTCCATGGTGGACATGGTGTACTCCGAAGTTCATGGTGTCATGGTGCAAAACATGTGCAAAACCACGGACATCTCATTTTGAAGCAAACATCGCTACGTTCTCAGTCAAGACATCTTCTCTCGCATCCCTATGACCTAGCTCGAGGACTCAAGAATCCAAATCTCCAATGAAAGAGAAATGTTCACATCTCCTTTGAACATGTCTCCTTGTTTTCTTTCTTTCTTTCTTCCTTCTGTCCTGAAAATCCTCAAACTCCACATGCAGCTGTCGCAGCCCCTGTAGCGCATTCCGTCTAACAATCCCTCAATTGCACGCAGTTCCACTATACCCACTGTACTGATGTCAAGGTTCAAAACATTGACATGCTCAGTTCTGACTTGAAACTCATTGTCTGCTTTGCAAAGCTGACATACTCCTGTCATGTATTCTTCAGATCTTGCAAGCGAGAAGTGTAAAGGTGACAAGCCACATCAGACTAACTGAACCACATCAGACGAGGTCATCATGATGCTAACGGTGATTGTGGAATTGGACAGCACAGTCAAACCAAAAAAAACGTGTCCAACCAAAAGGGCAGCATGCTGAAGGAGCACGTTGATTGTCAGATATTGGGAAACCAACATGCAGATCTGCAAACTCCTTGCCCATGTTTGGCTTGAAAGACTCACTTCGGACTTCGGACTTCGGACAGTGCTCACGAACGCGATTCACCTCTGCAAGAACCTGCTTTTTGTCCTGTACAAGATTTATCCCAACCGGCGCCTCCATTGTCGACCTATCCATCGCACGCATGGGCCTGAACCAGAGACTGTCAATCTTGCGTGCGAAGGCTGGTAGTTCTCAGCTTAAGCAAGCAATTCACATCCAACATGAACCACCCGGGAGAACCCGTTTATCAAGAGCTCTCACCACCACAATATTGCATCTGTGCCCCTCATCAACACATCAACACATCACAGTAAGGCATCAGTCGCCTTCAAAACTTGAGAAACGACGCCTGGCCCATCAAAGTTGAACAGTCTACAGACAGTCGCAAGTAAGCTTCTCAAAGGAAGAGACACGCTTCAGAATCGTATTATAATTATAAGTGGAAAACAAAAGCAACCTGGCTAGTTGGCCAAGAATATCAATGTAAAGTTTGAATGTTTTACAAACGGGTTCAATGTCAATGTCATCATTTTTGGGCGGTAGATTCTGCTCTTGCAAGGAATCTCACCTATCTTAGCCTATTCCGTCATCTTGAGCAAGATGCCTTGGTTGCAAAATTCATGATGGCATGTTTGCACAAAACCTCCAAACGAGTCTGAATGCTCACGGAATGCTCAGCAAACCATGCGAGGTGTCTTCTTCGCACCATTTTGAGGGCAATATTCCAGCTCTGAGACCAGGCGCGTTCGCAACTCTTTGCCGTTATATGGCCCTTCGCCAAGAATTGCTTGTGGGCCGCACCCACCTATTTTCTATGGGCCTCCCCTGAAGCATGGAACAGAAACACCCACATAGACCTTGACTTTCTGCCAAAAAAATGTCTAATTGAGTCAAAACATATTGGCAGGCAGGCCCTTGCCTGGATAAGTTCTCAGAAAAATCCACTATCTTGGAAGTTCCCCTTCTCTTCCAAATGTTCCATTGATCTTATGCAAGCGAACACTCTTCGTGTTTCAATCTGCACCATTCCAAGCAAGCCCGCTGCTTCCTGGTTCATCAGGTGCATCAGGTGCATCAGGTGCATCAGGTGCCGTGTATGCGGTACCCGCCATATCGCCATCCTGCAACGCCGGGGGCATGTTAGCGGCATGTTCGATCGCGGAAAGCTGAAGAATTGCAACACTGGGAGCGTGCCTCCCATTGCCCCTCCAGGTCAGGGTTGTGGAACAGGAAGGAGTGCCAACAGGCCTGGAATCAAAATCATGCAAATAGTTATTTGTGTGTTCCTGTCACAATCTGTCCAAGCCTCACAGTAGACGTCCCCATCCTCTCCCTCGATCATGTGTCTGACCTTGGAAGAACTTCAGTCTCAGCCATGAACATGATGAATCAAATCCAACGAACAAGAAGAGATTGGAAGTATATGTCTTTCAAATCCTGACCCCTCTCTGAAATGCATTGTTGTGCAGAGACGCCCTGGTGCGATGCCTTTACGCATGGCTTTTGCCAGCTGTCTGCGCCATGCGAAACACAAGCTAAAAGGCTCCAGCTAAACCGTCCGCAGGAGTTCCCAAGCAGTCGTTTGCTGAGGTGCACTCCTCGGTACATTGGAATGTTTAGGATGTGTACCGAAGTACAATGTTTAACACGTTTGAAGATGAATGTTGCAGGACCATGTTTTGAACTTTAACCTGCAACATGGTCCTCTGAAAACCTCGATCATGGC